AAGTAAAATTTAAGAAGAGTGACCTACAAATAATCTAGTTAGTAACAAAATCATAAGTATTGCTGCTCGATTGCTTCTAAAGGATTTTGCACCAAAACTGTTGAATGTATTTAGACGAATTTTGTATGAAAGCGACGACGACTAGACGTGTCAGTTTGCTTTGAACAAATCCTTGGAACGTTTGTTATGCTGTAATCACGGTATAATGATTTTATTGCTTGTACTACTTTTATTTTTGCATTCCTCTTTGGTCATGGCATTTTCGCAACTACGATTGAATCGATAAATCTATCCATATTCGGCTACATTTATTTTGGGATAAATAAACTAGGTACAGCAATAACTAATCGATAATCTTCTAAAATAAAAGTTTTACTAGCACTATCAGACTATGACAAGACGATGAAAATGTTATGTCGTGAGATTGTTACAACAATCAAACCGACAAAATTATGTATTCCCAGAGTCGTCATCTCGCTTGGAATGTTAACAATTGTCATTCATTCAAACATTACTGTGAAAAGCTACAAAACTTTGCCAAATAATTTTACAGTCGTGTGAAACAAAATATACAAAGAAACAAAGTTACTATCGCATTTTTCATATGTCTGTATGCTATGAATACTTCATGGTAACACTCCTTTGCGAGATTCACTTTAATAAAATGGTGCGTCGAAGCTTTTCACAATTTTCCCGATGTTTACATACATAGGTAATACATGTAATGTAAAAATACCTGGAAGAGACTTATCGTATCGATTATTGATTTTATCTCAGAACAAATTGGCTCTTAATACAAGAGTATAAAATTGTTTTTCGATAAATGTAAAATGGGATTGTTGTGAATCAGTATTTTGATTCCCATATCATGTTTGAATAAATTTATAATTTGTACATTGTGTTATTTGTAAGCGAGCGAACATTTTGAACCCGAATTTGGCAACAATTTGGTTTCGTATTATTTCGAGTAGAATATCAATTTCTGAATAGCTTTGATGTACGGAACAAATGGGGAAGGGATGTCTGGGTAATTAAGTACTTAATTGAAGAGATTTAACATTGTGACAGGTAAACATATTATATTGGATGATATTGAATGTTCATATTATTATATAAAAAATATTGCTTGATTGAAAAGTCTATTTCTTTCCTCGTCCTTCTTTGGTAGATTTTTCATTAGATATTGAGATTCTGAACAAACTAAAAGATTATTGGCAGTTTTCAACAACCACTTTAAACTATCTCATAACTAAGAACTACTTAACGTGAGGAAGTATCTAAGTTCTTTTCGTTTAGGTGGCCCTTATAGGTTGGTGAAAAGTAATACGTCGTACAGTGTCACCTACTTTAGCTTAAGAGTTTCTTAAAATTGTAGAAGTTGGTATAATTGGCGTAAAATAGTCTTGTTAAGCAACATCTTTACACGAGAAATAGATACTATCGTTCTTAAACTGTCAAACACCAAGCGGTCACCGGTGACCGCAACCTATTGTTCTATAATTGTGTCTATAATGACGGTACTCGACGAGTTAAAATAATTGTTCTGAAAAGAGATGAACAACAAATTACGAACAATCTTTAGTCAATATTTTCTTAAATAAGAGGAAAAGAGAATATGACAGAACACGTCTATAATAGAAGATTAACTTAATAGGCTAGTAAGTACTTTAAACATCGTTACTTTCCAGCAAGTTGAGACGGGGGGAAACGTACTTTCTTCAGTCATCGACAGCGTTATAGAGACGTGACTTCGATGGGCAATGGATTAGCTATGTTAATCTTTGATATAATAATATAAACAGAAGGCAGAAGTCCACATTAAGGCACTTAATGCCACTGTGCAATGTAACACCCACTTTTCACTATTTATTTTATGAGTCCCATGTAATAGGGGGTGAGCATATTGCCATATTATACCGGGCACATTTCTAGACTTCGTGCTACTAATGAGATTTTTAAAAACCCAGTAATACTTTGTTAACCCGGGGATCGAACCCGAGACCCCCTTGCCCGACAGTCGCACTTGCGACCACTCGGTCAAAGAGGTAGTCAGTATAAACAATATTGTCTTACTAATATTATAAATATGAAATGATGTGAGTTTGTTACCCAATCACGTCATAGTACGTAACTGGGCCTTCGGTAACCTCACTCACACGTCGAAACACAACACAAGCGTTTTGTCACGTCGGTTTCCTGTGAGGCCATGGTATCACGCCGGTCGAGCCGGCCTTTCGTACTGAAGCATGGTGCTCTCCCACTTAGATTAAGTTTGTCTATTATTTCTAATGAGCCTGTTGTCATGTTGTCACAATCTCATCAACAGTACATTCTATTACGTTATAATATTCACAGTCTCTTGCCACAAATATTTTTGCATAGTTACAATGCATTCAATTCAAACATAAATCTATAAGAACAAAAATCCTTTTATGTATTCAAAATACGATTCCATTAAACAAACGTTCGGTTCTCATTCATCGTGTCGATTAAAATTACGGGGAAAATTAAGCGAAACGTCGCTCACAGATAGAAAAATCCAATTGTAAGTGAAATTCTTTGAAATGCAAATCATATTATTTATTTCCTACAATTTCTAAGAACGAATCAGATTTTCGTACGGATTCAGAATGTTTGTGTAAAATACTCTTTTGTTTCGACGCGAGAATTAGTTACCTAGGTCCTTCAACTTTAAAGCAGTTTTCACTAGAGGAATTATAACTGAGAATATGCTTACAAACAGCGTGAATATTATAGAACGTTGGCAATGTTAAGTTAAGAAGATTAGTAAGTCAAAACACTGTTTGGAAACAATAGAACTGAAACATTTAAGACTACAAAATAATGAACCAGACTACAGGAGTAAAAGACTTCTACGAGACTACGAGTAAAACAGTTTCCATAAACATCTTGTTAATATTTTGCAATATACATCCCTTTGAGAGTCAACAGGAAAATATTTGTATGAAAGTAAGAGATTGAAAATTCATACGATTTGTTCGGTAGTATCTCGACTACAGCGAGGAAACAAATTGGATATCTGATTTCACGTATGTTGAATTGATTTAAAGATTCCGAACTAGATAGATGTTTACATTCACAGGCTACAAACAGACGAACTAAATGTAATATGACTAGAAGATGAACGCCGGTAGAGCGAAAACCTTTGTCTTCCTCCAAAGGATACGTAAAGGTGTTTATATTTGAGATTTATTACAGGCAGTATTTGTTCGAATATCCAAGAGTAAATAAATCCTATCCTTCCGAAGTATTTGCGAGGGAATGTTGTTTGTTTAGCGCTCTCCAAAAGGTCAGACACGTTGATCTCAATGAAAATTAAGAATACTTAACTTCGACTCTGGTTTACGGACTGAATTTTATAGGTTTTATTTTCTGCGTTAACATTTTACCTCGTCGTACAATTTAAGTTTGCCAATTTTCACGTCTATTCGGCGTTTGTTTTGAAGCCTTTTTCTCAGTTTTGCTCGTATTTTATCCCACTGTGTATTGTCGTCGCACATCTACTGCTCTATTTTTCCAAGCATATTCATGAAGACCGTGTAATAACATACAGAAGGGACATTACTTAAAGACGTAATAAAATTTAAGCGGGCATTATTGTTATTATTTGCATAATTCGGCATTTCGCTTTGCATAACGAGTCCAGACCCATGAATAACGTAGTCTGCTTGTACATTCGCACTGGCGCACTCACCCTACCTCCACAGAAAATATTATACTCAATTATATTAAACTGACTCAGGATTTATTTAAGCCAAATTACTTACAGATTTATGCAACAATTTTCTTTTATTTGCAAACTCCGAAAAAGCTGCGATTTATATTTTGCTCATTTATCGGAATGAGATTTAAGGATTTAAGCAAAGATACGTTGCAAACAAAATTTTCGGCAATTTGACTCAAATAGGGTTCAAAGAAAGTTTATTACCAGGTGGTCCGTGAATGGTAAAATCTCATTTTCCACGACATTAAGCACTGAACAGGACAAAAGATTCGCGGCAAATTGTCCACACGAAACCACGTGCGGCGCGGCCGGGTTCCCAACGTCTAACTGCGCACTCTGGCTGCGCGGTTACCCTTAATGTAGGTACCCTCTTATTAATAACCTACCCGACCTCCTAAACAAAGGAATTCAAATCAATTAGGGTCAACCCTGCAGCCTTACAATTAGGGCCGAAACAAATCGTCGCCAACAAATGCATTCGTTCATCGAATACACTTTTGAAACAAACCAAACTACGCTTATGCTTCGACACTGGCATATGACGCGGCAAAAGAAGAAAAACGCGCAATATGCGCCGAAAAGAGATAGAACTATACGTATTAGCTGTTCGTCAGAGTAAGACAGCATCAGACATTTTGTAAGCTGATAACCAGAGGCAGCGAACAGAGCGAGGGGAACCATATTCTCGCGCGACTCTGCATGAATGTAATGAATTAAAATTCAATGGTATACAAGCAAGACTTTGTGCGTGAGTGTGAATCGCTTTTAACATAAAGCTTACCGTATTCGTAATAAGTGCGTGATTTTATATTCTTCGAGAAATGGCGGGTTCGCAGTAAATGCAATTGGAAACCAATTAGAATTTGGGTTACGATATATTTTTGTAAATTTGTTATCAGTGAATGAATATTGGTAATAATCAGTCTATCAGTGGCTTACATCTAAACTGCACGTTACACAATGAACCGTGAAGGAAAACATTTCGTCAGACCAAGTGTTAACTCAAGGTCCAACCAACCTCATTCATTGAGATAAGGAAAACAAAACCGGAAAGCTCATAGTTGTGTTAGCTCTTTAAGTCAGAATTATCCTTATCCATTCAAGGATAGAGGGATCCACTTACAAGTAACTTTAAAACTAAGATTTAAATCCAATAAGATTTTAAACAAAGCACCACAATTAATTTGGTTCATTGTGCCGCACAGTGGATTCGTACATAACTATACGTGCACAAAAATTTGCGGGTGATTTTTACCTATACATCCATGGAAATGCAATCCATCATTGGTTCGTGTATTCACGATCACTGCACACACACAGGAGCGCTAGCGCGCACACTCGCGCACCGCACCTCCTCACGCGAAGGGAAAATCTTCACACACGACACAGATAAACATGTCAACTGCTAGACATTGTTACCCTAAAGTCCTTTCACGTTTTTCACCACAAAATCACCATAATACACTTATAATAACACAAACAGCATAAATGAACACAGAAACACAGGATTATTTTACAATATCACTCGCGTTCGAGTCACGAAGCCGACGGTTTCGACAAAAATACGCGTAGATATTGTAGTGTCGATTCGGCGACTGTTCTCCCCGCCCTGTTCCAGAGGCGAATGGCGCCGCCATATTGAATCTCGCTACATCAGCGTACAGTAGAGCATCTAGCGGCAAGTTTTGGAACAAAATCATAAACTTCGGTACCACACAGTGGGTTAAATATAATGTTTTTGTTGTCCTTAGACAAATACGAGTTTGAGAAGACATGAAAATGATAAATATTTAAGTTTTGTTATGGTTTTGTCAAATAAAATGGCTTGTTTCATAGTACATGCAGAAATATTTTCCCTTACTGTGTAACCGGTGAGTATTGGCTACGTATCAGTTGTTCATGGTATCGCGTTAAGCCGCTAGATAGCGCTGACAAGGTCAAAATAATATACAATCACGTTGTATTATCAATATTCATGTTTATGTATCAGGTTGGAACGTTATGGCACGCGCTTTGTTGTTTTGAAGGGTTTTATGTAATCTGAGTGGAGTTTTTTATACTTACAGATTTATTTCTTTGAGAATTTTGTTTCTTCTCTTTAAGTTAACCAGGAATTATTATTAATTCATCAGTGAGGGTATTTTTAAACAATTTGAATTACATTAATACTTTAAAAAAAGTTGATTAAATTTAGAAAATTGAATCTATCTACAATACAATTGTTAGATTGGAATGATATTGAAACTCCGGATATCTGTGGTTGGCCGGTTATTCTTCGAAGATGGAATATTAAATCAATGGATGTAAGTTGTTATAGCATCGATTGCGGTCGACCCACATGCTCAGTTGCGTTACGCTCACGTGGTTTATGTTCCTCTGGTGATAAAAGCCTCGTCGTTGGCTTCCTTAAACCACGATATTGACGTTAAATTAGCTGTCAGCGGTAAAAAAGATATAGGGCCCTGGTTTCGCTTCGAAAGCTGTGCGGTTAAAACGTGGTAGCAGTAATGTGATTTGAAATACAAGCATTATGAGGGTATAAAAAGATGTATGTGTTGCGATGGTGAATTTATTATTATACGCTCAGCATTTTTGAATGAAAAGGGATGGATGCAGATTTTTTAAGCTGCCAATTGAGTTGACTGCCTCTTCGATATAACTAATAATTAAGTTGAATTTATTATAATTTTAATTCTAAATATAAGTTTTATTTTACTTAGACAGATTTATGCTTCAAATGTATTTGTAATAGGTACCTATAAGTACGTCTAATTTTTTTAAATATTTAACTTTTAATAAACCCAAAAAATAAAGGTTTTTTTCCAAGGTCCATAGGTTAGGTTCGTACTTTCTTGTTTTGTTGAAAAAATGTAAATAAAGACTAACTTAAGTACTTTACCTACAATATTTTCTTTTTCTTTTCTAAAGTGCCAAATATTTTTTATGGACTCGAAAGTCTCCATTGGCAACAAGCCAGAAGTAATATAGAAGTGATAGTTAATAGTTTAGTCATTAGGACGATGAGGTCGTTCCACTGTGCCATCCTTTTGTGGACTAATAACTTGAAGATTTTGACACTTGGACACAAGATAAATATTTTGTATTTTTTTTAATAAGAAATACTTAGGGCTTTTTTCACAATATCTGGATAGCCGTTATCTACCAGATTTTGAATTAAGAACGTAATTTGTATGAACTATCTGTCACAAAAGTTTATCAGGTACTTACATAGAGGTGATGTAACCGGCCGGCGCTTAATATATCAATTATAATTCTATTATTAAGTATGATTTTAATTACAAACGAAAACAATAACAATTTCTAATAGATATTTTTAATTAAATATATCCCTGTGGGAGTTTGTACTGTGTAAAATTATCTCTTTGAGTACCCTCATTATAGACACAATTAAAGACAATAGGTTGCGGTCACCGGAGACCGCTCGGTGTATGACAGTTTAAATCAAAAACATTACATATTTCTATCAGTTGTATATGGAATAACCACACAAAAATGTTTGTCCCCCACTAACGACATGCTAAACGTCCTATCGGTCATGCTTTCAGATTGTCTATTCACCGTACTATGTACTTATAGGTACACACACACACCAGCACATTAAACTACCCCACATAAACGAATTATTCCTTTAATCGATTTTCAACCGCACACTTTTGTAATAAAGTCGAAAATGTACTGAAGGAATTTGATAGGTTAGGATAGTTTGTATTACAGCGCATTGATATTGTTTCACTCTAGTTACATACTCAGACGACAAACCTCTCTATCGACGCAGCCAAGTGTACAATTTTAAAGTTGCATTGAACTTTTCATTTTGTAACTACGACTGATTTTGATCTCAATACTTTTTTTCTGTAGATTTAAAGATGAGTGCCAGATACTCTTGTTTGATTTTCCATTCGTCTTCTATTGTCGGTAAGGTTTATGGGTTGTCTATACTACCTACCTACTTAAACTGTCAAACAGCAAGCGGTCACCGGTGACCGCAACCTATTGTTCTATAATTGTGTCTACAAAACCGGTACTCGACGAGTTAATATTAAACACCTGAAGTGTTTGTTTGGTCTAATGCGCTAATCACAAGAAATACTTAATGCATGGGTAAAAAAACTGCATTTAAAAACCGACTTAAAAAACAAAAAATACGTAATAAAAATAAACAAAAAGTTAAAAATTACTATTATTAGTACTGATTCGGTTGCCCACCCATTGATAGTTTAAATTATTCATTAAATCCTTAATCTTAGATACCTAATATTAAGTTTTGAGCACAGAAATATTAACTGCGGTAACAAACATCCGAACATAGTAAGAAGTCCTTTTTCTGAAGTCGGTAAAAACAATGTTTCAATAGATACTTTGTCCATTTATTGAGTAAGGGTTAGACCACAAAATATCACTCTTCGACCAGTAGAGGAGTCCAACATCATGTGAAACCGCCCAACTGGTTTGTTTATTTGTATTAGATAACTAGTAAGTCTGGACTTCTACAATCAGACATTCCCAATTAAAAAAAAATATCCACACTCACCACTACACATCTGCAACCTAACCTACACCTACCAACACATAAATATAGAATTCACTTTCCTATATCAGATAACGTTATCTATGTAATAAATACGTAATGTTCCCACATTATCTCGTATCACATACTTTAGCTCAGATTATACGAACACTAAGTTAGTTCTCAAACTCTGTATCTTAACACGCTTGCAGACTTCTTGGTGGAATTTAATTAATGAAAATATTAAACGAAGTTGTGTACGGTAATAGTGAGGTTTATTAATATTGTAAGTGAATTTTAACAAGCTTACATATGGATTACTTTAAAGAACTGGAATTGACTTTGAATTATACATAACACTGTTGATGTTCAAAAGTGCCTTCCTGGTGTAATTGAAATAAATGATTTTGACTTTGAATTTAAACAAACACCTAATAATTCAAACTACTTTCAGAAAAGTGTAAGTAGTTTTCGAAAGGGCCGGCTGGACCGGAGTGATACCACGACCAGACAGACGTGAAAACAACGCTTGCGTTTAGTTTTGTCGTGTGAGGTTATCGGACAACCAATTACCCCCCCTCCCATCCCAATCTCCCCAATTCCTGAATCCCTGACAATTCAAATTCCTAATCCCCATAAGGCCAGTAACGCACTTGTAACGCCCCTAGTGTTTCGGGTGTCCATGGGCGATGCCGATTGCTTACCATCAGGTGATCGGGCTTATCTCATAAACGAACAGAAAATAATGTATCTGATTTAATTCAATACAATTTAGTTACAAAATAAAAGTAAGTCCAGCATACAAAAGGGAAAATGAGACAATTACAAATCATGACCTCAGGAATACCCAATCTTCACACCACAATCAAAAGTTCATTGGAATTGTTCCAAACTCCATTTAATACTTTCATTTCAAGTCAAATAAATGAAAAAAAAAGTAAAAATATTCGCGTTACTATGACACTGCGCCGGCGCAACGTTTGACCATTACCTGATTGGTTCCGTACGAGCGCACGATTCGCTGCAGTTGCGCCTTCTCTAATATCATAATTAGGAACGAATTTTATGTTCATGACGTTTAGAAATCGCATATTTATGCTGTGACAAATTGTTATGTGTATCATTGTAATTTTTGTACTGTAGAACATCGAACTTTTTATATTTTTCCCTGGCTATTACTTACAGCAGAACTTGGTTTTCAGTAACCTATTTGAGGCAGCAGATCATTAACAATCTCATACGATCATTTCTTATTAGAAATACACATTTACAATTTTTTGAGAGTCCTAGATCTGTTAGAAATCTACTAATTACAACAAATCGATAGGATGCCCTGTTTCTACCTCTTCTTCGAGTCCTTATCCTTAGTTGTTTAAGTACTAGAACTATATTCAACTGTTTCCCTGATTAAATCGGAAGATATAACACAAAAATAAAAACGCGACTCCAAAATCCACCGACTTTATTGTTTGCAAACAATACTAAAGCTAAAAGTTTTCAACAAAATCCATTACCTATTGTATGAACCCTTGTCTTTAAAACTACCATTGCCAGTTCCCTAACATGGCCACGTTCACAAAGTCGTTATTTCAATTACCTACCCTGCAGAACTTTAAACTAACTTAAAGTTTGCTCTTACAGCAGCTTCCTTTGGTACATTCAACAGAATCCGAAAGTTTAGGAGATTCGATCGCGTTTGCTAACCAAACAGATGTTTAGTAGAATAATATTAGGTACAAGTAGCTGGTCTTGTAGATATTTCCTTTAGTTCTGCTCTATTTTACAAGCTGTTATGTTATTCTAAGCTATTAGTTATGCGCTATTCACATCTTTAGAACTGTATGCACCATTACTTCTGTTTGCACTATGTTAATGTTACGTCTTCTGTCATTCACGATATACTATTTTATTATACAGTTCTACTTCAAACGGTGTTACAAGTACTTAAATATAAAAATTTAACGAGAAAATTTCTATTTATAAACAAACGGTAAACATATATTTAAGTAGTTCATCGGAGCTACTTTAGGGTATAACTAAGTAGGAGATATATTCTGAAAAAAGTATTCGCGTATTTTAAAGTAAGGAAACGAATACAAAACTTTTTCCTCTTTTCGTGAGTCATTGACCTACGCTGAGATTTTTATTATTTTAAACAACGAATAGTCTACTAATTAATCCAGAGGGCAATGTATGAACGAAACCGCGTTCGACGCTCTGATTGGCCGGCTCCTATGAACCAGCCAATCGGAGGGCCGAACGCGGTTTCGTGTCGGTTACTTTAAACGTAAAATAAACTCGTACTACACTACAGCAATACTTCGAATACTCGTGCAACATGATTAAGATTATTACATTGAAAGTTTACAACTTCTAACTGTTTACAGTTACGATAAAGTAAATGTTTACATTCAATATCCAGGTGTTAGCATCGAGAAATTAAAAACAACACTCATTTGTGATTTCATAGTGAATACAAGTAGTAATATTTTGAAACATGTTATTTATTCGCCGAAGGAGCAGACAGAAGTTTCCTTTTAAAACTGACATCGACCGTTCATCGAGTATGGGAAAAACAAAACAAGTAGTGAGAAAATTCTTTTTAATGTAAATCGGTATAATTGTAAAAGTATTCGATGTTGACTTATCTTATTTGATGATTAGGGAAACCTTTAAAATGAAAACTTAGTGAGTGATTTTTATTACAACAAACCACGATTAGCAGGATTTTATTATTGCTAATCGTGGTTTTAGTGTTATAGGTATAAAGTGCACCAATTCCTCTAAATTGACCAGCCTCGGATGCTTCACTGTACTGCGCATCGTAAAAATGGCTAAAAATGTTTCTTTACAAAACAGGCGTTAAGTACGTTATTGTAAAACTTTAACCAATTTGTTTATTTATGCGTAAAACATGGGTAGGCAAGTATTGCCTTTCGCTAGCATTGAAGCGTCATAAAAAGTTTAAGAAACATTAGTTTGGAAAGCCGGTGCGCCCGCGCAGACCTACACTTAGTTGTTGTTGTTATTGTCGAAGGGCACAAGTTAAAAGCAGTCAGCGAACAAATAAAATACAGAGACAAAGGCATTTTTATTTAATTTGGGAGATTGGATAGATATTTATTCGTCAGACGTTGTTGATGACGATGTTGATCTCGTAATTACATCCCACGGTCCAGTGACCTAAGAGGGTATATAGATTAGACATAAGTAGTTAACTTGGTCACAAGCCTACTGCACCTAACCGACTACTACAATTCCTATAAGCCAGGATTTACAGTAGAAGTTAACCAAATTCAAAACTATAACTTGGTATAGATGAAATCATATCTAGTAATAGTTTTTGAAAATTATTATGAAAACATTTACTATCGTGTAGAGAAATAATTATTTCAATTAACGAAACAAACCTGTTGAAAATATGTACTTCTATTGTACTTTCGTGTTTTGAAAATATAAAGTCACTAACTCAATGAGGGCGCACTTTTAACTTTAAATAACATGTAATTAAAATTGGGAAGTCAGATCAGTTAAATCAAAGCCATCTTCAACTAACTATATTTAAAAAAAACGCGAGTTGGCTGCGCAACGTTCACCGTATTATGGGTCGCGCTGTGCATGAATACGAACCCGTACATATTGGCGATGTGTGCGACGGTGGCTAACCCCCAAAAAGAAGAAAAAATAACATAAAAATTATAATATTTAAAAATAATTAACCCCAATCGCTCCTCTCCCCTAACTTGTCCCACACAATGTGATTCACGCTTCATTGGGTACATTATCGTTGGCCAATTTGCATGCTCGCCCCAGTCGCGTAACGGTAGCCACATTGGAATATTGCACGTCATATTTCATATATCATTCACTGGATCAACTAATCTTCTTTATCGTACACCTATTTGAATTGCGATTGTGATTCATCGCATTTTTTTCTGTATCGAATACAAAAATCGGTAAATTGAGTGTAATGTTTTTTACATCGATTTGGTTTGGAATATCGATTTGATGTTTTAGTTGTTTATTTATTGCGTGCAATGTTACTGTATATTCTACTGTATATTCGAAACCATTTTTTTGGTTTTGTAGAAATCGATTAAAGGTTAGTTAATCTTAAAGTGATTTGAGAATTAATTTGCTGTAACTACACAACAAATGAACCAGTGACAATCTAAGCTAAGTAACTAACTAAAATCACACATAGTAGGTTACGCTCGTCATTCGTGTCATCACAAAGCTACAATATTGTCACCAGTTTTAGGTTAAGTACTTATCCATGCTTCGTCCCAATTTCCGAGTCACAAATGCGATTACAAAATCAGGCTAATCGGTTGACATATTAACGATAGCCGACTAATACGATTCATGACGTCATCCCTACCAAAAATATCGGGATACTTTTTTAAAAACAGAATTTTATGTGAAGAGTTTTTATGCTTTGAGTTTTTATAGCAAGTTGCTGTCATGAGGTTCATACGGGATACGGGTCATGTCGATGCTATAAATATAAAATGCCTTAGTTTATTACTGTGAAGTGTAACGAATGTGCAGGATTTATTTTGCTGTTAAAACAAGTTTCTGTTTCATTAGCCTGAAGAATTTGCATTGAAAATAATATTAGCTCATAAACAACATATTTAGAACCATTACGTGATTAAAAAAACTTCCATATTGCCTATAACCTTATATTGTGAATAGAACCTAAACAAATTTAATTACTTACATAATTTTCTAGGAACAAAATTAAATGCATAGATATAAATCGTAAGTGACATAAACATGCCAAGTTCAAAACATGTAATAAACAATATTGGTAAATTATCATGATATGGATTGGTTACACAAAATCCAACACAAAGCCTAATTAATTAAACCACACAATGTCCAGATAATAAATTAAGTATTCATCAACATTTACTTCTAACATGTATTATGTACTGCAACTGGTTTTCATTCCTAAACTATTGAACCAATTTTGGTGAGTTCACGTATAAATAATAATATTATACATGGAAGTAACTATCTTCAGAAATGCTGCTAAGTCTAAACTCATTGCCACTGGCAGCGGCGATTATTTAGTATGAAGGAACCTTTAATTAATCAACTTAAACCTTTGCCATCACGACATTCTAACCTTGATTCACCTTTTTCAATAAACAATTGCTCCACACTTTATTAAAAATGCTAGTCAAACCAGCTAAGATGGAAAACGATAAAGGTTGAACTTGTATATCATAATTATGTATTGAGAAACAAGTGCCCAAATTATAACTGAACTACTGTACCATATAGAAAAATGAACAGTAGTGCCAAGAGTGTATTTAAGAGACCAATGCCCGAATACTGAAACGTTACTCAATTTTAAGTCGCGCTTAAGCATAGTTCTGTCACTACTAATTCTTTGTAAAATGACAGAGACAGCACGATATTTAAGCACGACTTAAAATTGAGTAACGTTTCAGTATTCCAGCACAAGTGGTATAAATGTTATGTTTGTTATCTATTAAAGCTATCTTAGATTTCAGTAGTTAGTAACTATCATCATCATCATCATCATCATCATCATCATCATCATCATCATCATCATCATCATCATCATCATCAACAGCCAATAATAATGCCCACTGCTGAGCAAAGCCTTTTCTCACACGGAGAAGGTGTGAGCATTAATCAACACGCTTGCTCAATGCGGTTGGGCGATTACAAACTTATAATTAGAAATTATAAACCTAGGTTTCCTCGCGATGTTTTCCTTCACCGTTTATCAGTGTTGTCGAGATAATCTTAGAAAGTAGGTACGTATAACTCGGAAAAAGTCACATTGATACTTGCCGTTGATATGTTTCGAGTCAGCACCCTCATGCATTAGAAGCGCCGTCTTAATCCTCGGGGCCACCACGACAATTTACCATAGGGCCACGTTAGAAAACATAATATGATTTTAATACAACAAAAAGCAAATAAAAAAAATTCGTGTTGCATGTTCTTACAGATTTATTTTATGCTTTATTCATTCCTGTATTACGTATAACTTTCGTGAAACATATATGGAATTAATTATTCGATTAACGGTTTACGCATGTAGACTATTTCTTTTATCCCGATATTTCCCTTTCTTAAGGCGGGAGAAATCCCGCCTTGTCGAAACCTCGAGTTACCGTGACAAATAGTTTCACGAGTAAGCCGTTACACGTAATAATTATTAATTTAGCAAGTCAGTTGACTAGTACAAATGTTGTTGGATGAAATTCACGAAACTGGTGACTCGAGTATATCCTGCAGGTACGCCTGCTTCACAACCAAAATATTTAGAACCGAAGGAGGTGATACCAATCTGGAACAATTATTTTAAAAATAAATAAATTATTACTAATTTTTATTTCATTCCTTTTTATTTCATTCAATCAATAACCCAACATCCAAGTCTACACTTTCTACGACCTAACTGCTATCCCCAAGTCGCCTGCCAAATGAGGAGACAAACCGCTCTTGAAAAAAGACTTTAGTTCCACAGTGGACATATTCAGGCTTTACAAGGCCTTGCTTATTTTCTTTAGTATACTACAGCACAATATAATAACTTTAGTGATTTTGTACAATGTTAACAAAAAATCTCTCAAAGGCTTAGTATGCAATATTTTTTACAACTTTTATATCTAATCACTAACCAAGACTGGCTCCCTGTTGTTGTAGACGAAGAGCGGTCCACCAGAGTCTCCTCCACAAGTACCGACAGGTCCTGCCATCCCAACCCCACTTGTGCAGATTGTATTTGGCGTTACCTCATTAAAATCGTAGGAGCGCACGCATTGAGCGTTATCGATCACCTGCAACTTGACTTGACTCAACACAGTTTTGGCGTGCTTTTGGTCTGAAACGCAATTTCATTTAAGAACAACCTACCAAATAAACAAGCGATAAAAAAACTATAGAAATACTGCATAAATAACGACAAACTTAGAAAAGGTAGTGTTTTGCTATTAAAATAAATAAAAAAGTACAACTCACTAGTACTAGTTTTTCCAAAGCCAACAGCTATGGCTGAATATCCCGCAAATGTGTTTGTTTGTTCACCATCATTTGGTAATCTGATCGGTTTGACAGTGTCTGTAATACACGGCAATAATGTTTATAATATTTACAGGAATATAAAAGATCTTAAATAACAAAAAAATATATTTAGTTAAATTAAAACAATAAAAAAATCTTAAAAATGGTCGATAAGAAACTTAAGAAAAACGTTATTTAAACGGAAAATATCAAATTATATAAATAAATTATGATCGAAATAAATCCTTCGCATTAGTAGAGATAACTTACTTGTAAATACAACTTTCTGGTACAAATATAATATAGCGATGTCATTTGTAAAGTACTTATGATCATAATAAGGATGTACAACGATTTCATTAGTGACAAAACGTTCACCACCAAAGAACATCAGGTTAGAGCCCAAAACCACTTCAAACTTATACGCCGATTGCCTGCCATCATAATTACAGTGCGCAGCAGTCACTAGTCGATTGGAAGATAACAATGAAGAACCGCAAATCGAGTTTTCTGATTTACCATATATACTGATGATTAAGCCAGCCTGTGGGTAGAAGAATTTAGTTACAGAACTTAAAAAACTAAATGTTAATAAACCGTTGAACATTTCCATTTACCTTGAACCTTTAAACGATGGACTAATACCAGGAACTGCTAGTCCGATTTGAAAAAATATTTTTGTGTTGGACAGTCCTTTTATCAAGGAAGGCTATAGGCTATAAAACATCATTCTACGATCAATAGGAGCTGAGCAGAGCGGTCGAAACCGCGCAGACGTAGCTAGTATTTAATAAAATGCAAATATTCCCAATTTATGCTACATAGGTAATGATTTTGTTTAATCTTTAAATAAGAATACTAGGTGATTAATAAAATTAAAAAAAAACATTTAAATGCCTTCAATAACAATTTGTTCAAATACGTGGTCGTCAACAATGCAGATCATTGCTAAAAAGTACATACGAAAAAAGGGTAAGAATTGAATGCTATCTCTCCACCGATGATTCTATTCTCGATATTTATAGTTCCATTAGCTTGAATTGCTTCTTCCAGAGCCTTGATCTTCGTCGCAGTAGGAATACCGATGTCATCGTGGTAGTAGGCCTGCACTTCCAACACGTCAATCAGAAAGAAACCAAAAAGTACTACTATGACAGTCTTCATGATGTACTCGTGTAAAGACTAAGTAACGTAGTTAAATTTACGGACATATTAGTACTATTTATATCGATTCATAATAAAACATAAAGCTATTAATAAACCAGCGACTTTTAGTCTTGCGACACGACTTGTTAATGCTTACGCTGCCAAAACTTGGAGTATGTATAGAGTATCGTAGAAGAAATAAGCTGACAGACCTGGCAATAGTCCCTGTCTCTATTTTTCCTATAAAACTTTTACTATAATACGGTACTGTAATACGGTAAAATGGGGGTTAGTATTTATCGGGATGAATAAATTAAACTGGTCTTTAATTTTGCTGTCAGAAATGATATTATTTTGATGCCAGCCATTTTGTTAATTAATTTCGTTATAGTAATTATAAATTCCTTAATTATTCATAATCATAGTTCTAATTTTGAGAAAATTTTGCGACTGCGATATTCATACTCTTTTATAATATCGATGGTGTCAAATGACTTAGCTATGTGACAACAATTTCAGATTTATGAAGCAATTTGCAATATGCCAATTATCTATGTGATAAGATAATATTATTTAAAAAGTTGGTCATAAAAAAACAATGTGTAGAAGTGATGGAGAATATGGGCGAAAGGTATTAGGAATGCATTTAATGGCCATAAAAAGCTAAAGGATAAAAAAGGTTGAAAAATGCATATCTACCTTTTTGAAATTACAGGCAACCGAACAGACATATCATCTGATGGTAAGTGATCAGCGCCGCCCATAAACACCTGCAACACCAGAGGTGCGTTGCCAGTCTTTTAAAAAGGAATACGCTCTTTTCTTGAACCTTACTTTTTAGTCTTTTTTTTTTTGAGGGGTAAATCATCCAATAACAGTACTTTGATGTCGACTGTTGAAGGTACAGATCAGTGAACATTCAAAAGTCTTGGAACGCTGTGGCATGTTCACTGATCAGTACCTTGGTACCAGTCAACATCAAAGTATTGTCAGCTCTGAAATCTGACACACATATGTTAATGTGAAAGACATTTTCTCATAAATTTTACAAGCTCCGATATCGGTGATAGCGTCCGATATCGTGTCGGATAAAGTGAGAATGGAGGACAGGACTGGATACAAAAGGCATAAAATCGAGGAAGGAGGGGAACTGGAGGAAGTCTATGTCCAGGATTGAACAACAAATGGCTGAGAAGGATATCGATGAAAGTGAAATTGCACTTAACCGGATGAAACCGGATTAAGATCTGAGTGAAATTGCCAACTGAAACTACTGCACGATTTTTTTTGTCGTCAACTGTGATTGACTGTGGGTGTTATACATGATAGAGTAAATTGTAGCAAAACTCGTTACTTTTTAGTTTGTGTAACACTGACATACAACTTTCTGACCCACTTAATTACATGTACACACGTAATAATTTGTGACATTGAATTAAACTGGTTAGTAATAACTGTGGCCAATATTACATTCGTTATTATTGTTATACGCAATTATTTTATTCTTATGAAATGCCATTTTATGAGTTGTTTTGATTTAAATTGTTGTCGTCATTTATCTATGTTTATATTATTACTTTAGTGAGACATACTACATTAATTATTATGTTTTCGTCTTACTCACGTAATTATTTACGCCCAGTAGCGGCGCGACAAAGGCCGCGTTGCAGGTCGCGGAGTGCTGCTCATGCATATGAGCCTCTACCATGGCTTGAAACTAGTCGAGTTCCTCGTCAAATATTTACGTGATTACGAGTTACCCACGTAAATATACTAGAAGCTCTACGTGTTTCGAATCACAGAGGGACTCTTCCTCGTGAGCAGCGCGCATCATTTTTATTACACAAAATCAATAATTATACCTCTACTGTTAAAATGTTTTAGGTAGTTCTCATTTTAAAACCAGTGTAATGTAATAGTATACTCGATTTACATTTAAAAAGGTCGTAACTACCACATTTCTGGTTTACCATTTAATTTCACAATTCAGTTTTTCACACCGCACTCTGAATAAAATTCTCCTGAATTTTCCATACACTTATTTATTCCTGTTCCCACCGTACTGTGATGAAAATGCTGTGAATATTTTATAATTTGTTATTGTCAGAATTTGTCAGTTTTTGGAACGAAATGTTTGCGTATTTTCTGGTCGAATCATGGGAATTTAATGGACATTTATTCAATACTGGTTGATTTTTATTGTCCTTGATTACGATTTTTTTAGGTACGAAAGTAAGAAATTGCTAAGTTGAAAAGAAACATGAAAAATTATATTATTATAAGGTCGAGGATAAGTTTGTGAATTTTAGAAAAACAACTAATATTAAATTTTCAGGGCTATTCTGATGAAATATGAAGTATGACCTCATTTACTAATAACATTTATCTACTGTTTTATCTATGGATGTCCTACTGCCTCGTTGGCCGAGTGGTCGCGAGTGCGACTGCCGGGAAAGGGGTCTCGGGTTCGATTCCCGGGTCGGGCAAAGTATTACTGGGCTTTTAAAAAATTCTCAGTAGTAGCACGGAGTCTGGAAATGTGCCCGGTATATGGCAATAGGCTCACCCGGGTATTACATGGGACTCATAACATAAATAAGTACATAGTGAAAAGTGGGTGTTACTTCTGTGTGCACCTCTGCCTACCCCTTTGGGGATAAAAGACGTGATGTTATGTATGTTATGTTATTTCCCTAGGATTACTTCAATAAATCTTATCCATTTTCCAAATTCTCATCAAATTCAATTAATTAATTCATTAAAATAAAATCTTTTCAAAATTACGATAGATTGATGAATTCGATGGCTAGATTTAATCAATCGCATTTATTTTACGTCCACTGAATTATGTTTTTTATTATTTCATAAGTAATTGTTTTAAACATATTCTTTCTTGAAGCGTGTCCGTTGCGTGCGCCCGCGCTATATTTTATAAATCAAGTTGTTCTACATTCATAATTCACTCACTACCCGTTTTATTAATTTTACCGTAAATAACAAGGACTTATTTATGGATCCTTTTGCAAAAAATAACGCCTTTATTGAAATTAATAGTGTTACGCAGTTGTGTATAAACACGATTTGAATAATGGAGTAAATAAATGTTATTGTTCATTAGAGAATAAGGTCGACTTTAATGTAAGAAAAATCTTAATATTAGGTATTATGGTACAGTCATTTGGTATGTCTCTTTGGCACTCGTCGCCGAAAAAAAGGAAAAAAAGGTTATGACATAAATTGTAAGTAAGTACTATTATTTTGTGTAGATATGTTTTTCGTGTAAAATGCGTCGGAATGGAGTCATTATCAAAAAACTGCTTTAGGCGCCATTGATGCAATATGGCGGCGCGAGCGGCAAAGATACGAGGTGGCAAAGTTAAAATTCGAAAAAAGCACGTCAAAATCTGTAAAAATTACCAATTTTCAAAACTCCCGGAAAACTTTCCAGGTAACCTTTATTCTTTCGAACAAATGACTGTTCTATTAAGACAGTCTATATAATTATATTTATCGAATTTGACAGACACAGAGACAGTCAGCCTCGTACAAATAACACCGTTTCTTTAACTTTAATGATTAATAAATTCCAAAAGCTTCATCTTTTACCCGTTAAACGATATAGGGACATCGATGACCAGCGTTCTCATTGGTGAAGCACCTTTTCGTCAGTACTCAAACCTAAACTTTATGAAAAGACAATAAATACCTATTAAAAACAATTACAATGAAGTTCAATCAACCATTATCCACAGCCCATAACTCATAAAAATGTAATACATCAACATATTCATCGTTTCATACAAAGTTGTAGCGAATGAATTGTATATTTTTTCAATAAATTGCGTCGCCCACCGATGTCGGTACATTCCGTACATTCATACCCTCTGATTGGTTTGTTTTGTTTTTTATTCATCCGTATTCCGTTTGCACCGTTTTGCCGGGAAAACGTTCATGTTTATAGAGGGTGTTTGTGCATTCCTCTCACGTCCCTTTTGTGAAAATATATGGGCCAGTTTTAATGAAGCTATTTGGGAAAAACAAGCGACTTAATTGTATAGCTTTTCACAACACGCTGTGTTTGCTCTTTCTATTTATTTAAATGTGAACTTTGCGTGTTTCGAAAACTTTATGATAGTTTTTTACTCTATGATATCTACATTTTATGTATTTTAAACTTATTTAAAATGTGACGTTTGTGACTTAGCTTCTCCTTTAGGAGAAATCTGTTGTTTTAATAACATCTCGCCTTTTATCTCCGAAGGGGTATTCAGAGGAGCACATTATGAAATTTAATGCCACTGTACAATGTACATGTTGAGCTATTGTAATAATATTAACACCAATGTACCTACACCATGTTTTACGCAAATAAATGATTTACTTAGTTACTTACTTACTAACATCCACTTTTTACTATTTGTTGTCTATCTACATGAGAATTCTGTTGTCTATATGGATAGTTTCATAAAAAAAAATTAAAATGCATAAAAATATTTAACTGGAAATAGCTACTATAATAATGTATATGTGAGTTTACCTAAATGGATTAAAATCCGGCATAATTACTTATAGTAACACCGACAACAGAACTTAATTAAAAGACGTAACAACACCAATTAATAAGTATCAATAACCGTTAATTAAAAATTACCTAACGGCTAATTATAATGCCGAATAACTTGATCGATTACTCGATTATGTGGATAACGTTTCCAATCGATATAATGCTAGCTGCACTAGTGAAACTAAATAATGACTTTTCATTGATTCCGTAATTAGTTTTTCACGCGTTTGGTGTCAATCGAGCAGAAAATAGCGTAAGATCGCAGTTGTTTTCAAAGAAGAATTAGACAGAAAAGTAAAATATCTCTTTTGACCAGCTGTTTTGAATTGACGTAAATTAGTTAGCAAACTAATTATAATATTACTATATTATATTTGTTAGTAG